GCATTACATAAACTATATCTATCATAATTTTTACAATTAAATGTATATTAGTTGTCTCTGTCAACAGTTTGCTTAGCTATTTTTGACTTATTTATACAATTAATTATAGGACTGTCTCTATCAGATTTTTATTACGTTATTAAAAAAAAAAATCGCTCTTATTTGGCTACTAATGTATGATCCACAAAAGAGCGCCTCATTTATTTTATTTAAAAAAAAAAAGCAAAAACACCCGCAAATTGGATGCTTTAAGTTGTGAAAACTATTATTTGATTTAATTACTTTATGCATTTGAAATCGTACCGCAACTTATTGTTCCAACCTTCATTTCCGTTTACTCGTTTTTTCCTTTTAGTTTCCGACGCTGTAAGTTTGATACTTTTTACTTTTTTTTCACTTAAATAAAAGCGACTGCAAAACATGTCCGACTGTTACGTAAGTCTCTATCCAACTCCGGAATTTTATATTTATTGTAAAACGGAGTAGACGTGTTTTTCAGTTGTATAAATAAAGTCGTAGTTTCTTGCACATTAGTAGTCCATACGAGGCACAGAACTAACAACCTAGAAGAAAAGTCCACTTAATCCGAAAAAACGCAAAATTAACAAGGGTTAATAAGCGTTTGGGGAATCATTCTCGTAGAAATATAAAAGGGAAAATAAAGGAAGTTAAAAACAAAACCCACAAAACTAAGAAAGTTTTGGTAAATTTAAAAACAATAATCAGAAAAAATATCAGAAAAAAACGAAGGTCATCTATCTGTCCAGATGAAACAATACCAGGCACTCATATGCGAGATCCAAATAGGAAATAATTTGGTGAAGGTAGAAAAATGTTGGAAAACTCTTGTTTTAAATCACAAAGTGATTTTGAATAAGATAGGCGCAGTAGATTATGAATATTTCAACAAGAACTTGTACACCGACGCTGAGAAGAAGTATAACAATTATATAAAAAAAGGAACATCAAGAGCAGTATTAGGTCCACCATGAAGAGCAGCATCAGGAGCAGCATCAGGGGCAGTATCAGGTTCAGCATCAGAAAGTAAATATGAGGAAGAAACAAAGGCAACACTATATACAAGAGAGTCAATAAAAACATACGATATATTGTTTTGTGAAATAGGAAAATATATAGTCAATATTGAGGGAAGACTTAAGTATGACGATAATTTAAAAAATAATTTAATAAAACATCAATGGAAGGTGAGTTCCTTATGGGAAAGAATTCAACAAACATTAGCCATTGATATGAATGTAAATAATTTGGAGATCGTCCAGGATGAAAAATATATAAGAATTCAAGATGACTACATGTCACTTAGGTTAAATTTGGACGAAAGAATACATAGCATGGGAAAAAATATGGAGGAAGCGTCGAAGATTTCAATTCCTGAAGTATTGCGAATTAAGAAATTTGGAGGAGCCCAAAAAGAATGGATATCCTTTGCAGCAGAATTTAATTTATTTACGCAGTAAAAAAAAAGTGTCAACCTCAATTAAACTAAGGCACTTAAGATCATTGCTGTATGGAGAAGCAAGGTCAATGGCACATCACCTACTGTTGGATAGTGACGAAAACTACGAAGCAGAATGGGAGTTTTTAAAAGAGAAATATGAAAATAAAAGAAATGTATTTTCAACCGCACTTAATGAGCTGATGGATTTACCGGCACTAGATGGAAGAAAACTCCATCAACAGATTTATATCTACAATTAACGAGTGCAGTTTCATCATAAAGCAACAAGCAGCTATATATGATGAAGCTGATGTTATCTTAGCATATATTGTGTTATGAAAATTTAAAGGAGAAGTAAAGCAGCAATACGAACACACCATTAAAAGAAACAGGGAAGTTCTACAATTAAATGATGTCAGGAAGTTTTTGTATGAACTGCAATCCTCATTTTCATTAGAAGAAGTTACAAGACAACCACTGTATAAAGCCCGGGAGAATCAAATGAATCAATTTTGTAAATATTGCAATAAACCAGGACATTTCATGATAGAATGTTATATGTTCAAAAAACAAACGCCAGAGGAAAAAAAGAAAATTTTGATAAAACTAAATATATGCCAAAAATGTTTTAAACATGACTCTGCAACTAAATGTGACAAAATAGTGTCATGTCACGAGTGTAAAGGAAATCATCATACACTATTAAATCAACAAAAAGAAAATAAAAAAATTGGAAGAATTTCAAAAAATATGACCACCAACACAAAAAAAGATACTGTTCTTGCTACAGCTATGGTTAACGTAAGTACAGTAAATGGAGAGAAAATATTATTAAAAGCTCTAGTAGATAGCGGATTCCAAACAACATTAGTATCAGAAGTAGTACAAACTTTAAGATTACCGAAGATTAAAACAACAACGAAAATCACAGGATTTTCATCCAAACATGTAGAGTTATCAAAATTTAAAGTAAATTTGGAAATCTCGACGCGGTAGAAGCCATTGTAATGTCAAAACTACATAAATCTCTTCCAAGTAAATCATTCGAAATATCATCGATGAAATTGAATAAGTATACTTTAGCAAATCTTTGTTTTAACATTGAAGGCACAATCGACATTATAATTGGATCAGATTTGATACCTGAAATTTCACAAACAAAAATTCGAAAAATTAATGGAATGATCTTGCAAGTGACTTCTTTGTATGGATAGTTTCAGGTAATATAGAGCGTACAGCAAGTGCTACAGTAGATATAGCAGATCTAGATCGGTTTTGAGAAATCGAAGAAGAAGCAGAAGACATCAGCAAAGAAAATTAACGATGTGAAGAGCACTTCAAAGCAAATACTAAACGAACTGAAGATGGAAAATTTACTGTAGCAATTCCTTTCAAAGATGATAAACAACTAGGCAACTCCAGGAAATTAGCAATGGCAAGATTATTAACCCATTTCGTACCTCCGTGTGGTACACCACACGGCTAACTTTGAAAATTATTTAAAAATATATAAAAGTAATTAATTCAATGTTTTTTATTTTTGTTACTTTGATATCTTAATAATATATAAATACATATTTCGAACAGTTTTCATCTGTTCATGAGTTTATCTGGTCAGAAAAAAAAGTGTCCAAAAAATGCTTTTTTTAATCAAATGAAAATTAAAATAAAAAAAATAAAAACTAGTATATTTGTTATAATATTGGTTCACAAAAGTCCAAACATAATTTTCGTAATATTTGCCGACGCCTTAGTAACAGTTTCTTGCCACCAGACGCCGGCAAAAAAGGCTGGGCCCCATAACAATATAATGATGAAACAATGCCATATAAATGTTTGTCGATAGATAATGAAATAAAATGAGACTAATCTCTCTAATAAATATGATACTCTTCTAATTAACTTAAACTTGTGTTTTTTACTATGCATTATAGTAATAAGTCTATTTTAATATTTAATTGCTGGTTGAGTTAGTCTGAATTTGATTGTTAAATATAGGGCTTACATTTATTCATTCTAAAGGTTCTGTCGTCAATTTTTTACTGTAAATAAAATTATAATGTTGTGCCCAAGATATTTAAGAAATCAGGAACTATTACATATTATTGACAATTGGTACTCCGCTACCAAGTGCCAAGTGACACTCCGCTACCTATTGAATAATAATGTTTGCCACCTGATAATGTTGCTGGTGAATCGGATAATGAAATGATTGACTACGGAAGTTGTATACGAATCAAATGCACAAGATTATGGTGGTGTTGTAGAAATGCCTGAGTCGCAACTATTCAGATTGGAATTTGTAAAACCAATACGTTTCGGTTATAAGCTATGAACCCTTTCTGTGGATAGTGGGTATATCTTCCAATTTCTGCCATACTGCAGTGCAACTGACAAATACAACAAACAATTGGGAATCGGTGCATTTGTTGTAAAGGAATTATTGAGCCATTGTGAGTATCCATTACAACATACTGTATGATTCCGTTGAACCCATAGTAAATGTGTTACACTATAGCAGAGAGAATAAAAAGGTTGGCCTCGCAGCTTCAAGTTATCAACAGCTACTACCGACTCATGGGCGGCGTCGATTTGCATGACAATGGAGTATCGGGAATAGAAGCAAAAAGGGGTGGTGACCATTATGGGTACAGTGTTTAGATAGCGCTGTAGTAAACGCTTGAAAACTAAATTTGCTTTGTCGCTGCTTCTACCAACACAAAACCGATACCTCATTAAGACTTTAAGAATTTCATCGCCAGAAATCTTGCATCAGAGAACTCAATGTTCATTACAGAAACTACCTCTTATCTCCCGGGAAATTAAAAATCGCCACCGCTGAATTCCATAAAAACTCAAAATCGCCACCGCTGCATTGTTTGTAGACCAAAAGCCACAGTTTTTACCTGTGAAAAGTGTTATTTAAATGGTCATGTAGAAAATTGCTTTAAAATTTCCTATGAAAATAAACAATATTACATTGAATGTAGACAAAGACGCAAGTAAACTTATTTTTACATAATACAATACATATGTAATAATTCAAATATATTTTTTGATTAGTAAATACTTAAAAAGCATAACACATAAAATTTAATACTTACACGTATTTTATACAACTTAAAATGATACTTACTTCACCATAAATGTAACTAAATACCATATTTGCGAATAAAACACATATAAAAGTGTTTGTACTATCGAAGAGAGAAAAATGTGCTATTGGTCCCAGCGTGTAGTTGACCACAGGCACTTTCCCGGAAAACTACTTTTCAAAAAAAAAATTTATTTATGCAGGGAATATTTTTAACTTAAAATAAGACTTTTCTGAAAATTTCACCATAAAATTCCAAGTTTGAACTTGCCTGGTACTTAATGGGTTAAGTATGGAAAGAAAATTTGTTCAAAATCCATCTCTAAAAGAAGAGTACTCCAAACTTAGGCTATATGAAACCAGCAAATTCGTTTAATAAAGGAAAATATTACATGCCTCATCAAGCTGTTATTAGAAATTCAAGTAACACGACTAAACGGCATAATGATGGTTGGTCCCCGCTTACAGAGAGACATTTTTGAAATAATTGCTAAATGGAGAAAATGGCAATTTGTTCTAGCTGCAGACGTGGAAAAAATGTATAGGCAGACAAAAATTTCTAAAGAAGACCAGGAGTACCAACATGTTCTTTGGAGGGAACAACCATCGCATCCAATTAAAGAACGTAAATTGACAACTGTAACTTATGGTATAGCATCAGCACAATTTTTAGTGGTAAGAGCATTGCAAGAAATGGCACGTGATTCAAAGCCGAATTACAGGATACAGGAATTAATTAAAAATGATTTCTGCATAGACGATTTACTGACAGGAGGCGATTCAATTGAGAGAATTTACAAGATCACCTACAAAAATATGGGTTTCACCTTAAAAAATGGCTTACCAACAATAAAAAGGTAGCATTGCAATTTAACGCAAAGATCACTAATAATATTGTAAATATCACCGAGAATGAAGTAACTAAAACTTTAGGGCTGCAGTGGGATCCTGCAACAGACTGCTTTTCATTTAAGATTAATGTAGATATAAAAAATATAGCAACAAAACGAATAGTTTTGTCAACTATTGCAAAAATATTTGCTCCGATAGGATGGCTAGCACCAATAATAATTGTGGCAAAATTATTAATTCAACAATTATGGCTAAATAATAAAAAATGGGATGATCAATTAGAAGATGACGCAGCTAAAATTTGGTATAAGTACATAGAACAACTATCAATGATTGAGAAAATAAAGAGACCACGTTGGATTAAGTCAACAAATGAAGCAAAATTTATCAACAAATGAAGCAAAAAAAAATGATTCTACATGGATTTGCAGATGCTTCAGATAAGGCATATGCAGCTGTTTTGTATGCAGTCGTTAATGGAATAACTACTATCGTTGCAGCCAAAACAAAGGTTAACCCTATTAAAAACAGGAAAAATATACCAAAATTGAAACTCTGTGCAGCACATCTTCTAGCAAAACTAATTGAAAAAACAAAGCTAATCATAGATAATAAGGTCCAAATATATGCATGGAGTGATTCAAGAATCTGTCTGGCATGGATAAAAAATAATAAAAACAAAGAGAAATTCATAAAGTCAAGAGTTCCTGATATTCAAAAATTGTTGCGTAACATTAACTGGAGATATATACTACTGATAATCCAGCAGATGTTGCGTTGAGAGGAATACATCCAGAAAAATTACAATATTGATATTGAATTCCAGACTGTACAATTGGTAATTTGGACCGGTTAAAGTTTTTACAAAAATTAAGAATGGATTTTTGGAAAAAATGGAAAGAGAAATACTTGGTGACACTGCAACAACGAAATAAATAGCAGAAAATATGGGAAAATTATAAGAAGAGACAAGTAGTTATAGTTAAAAACGAATTGATTCATCCAGCAAAATGGCCAATGGGAAAAATAGAGGAAATACATCTCGATAAAAACCAAAGATGGCTGCATAAAAAGACCAATAGTCAAGACTTGTCCACTAAGAATTGAAGAAAACATATTCGAAGTGGAATCAGGATATAAGCATGTGTCACACATATCAACAGCTGAACATAAAAAGAAGCCAGCAAAATTAAGAAAGGGTTACAACATTTTAAAGTATTTCTTTGCGCTATTATGGTTATCTACAGGCAACGCTGAAGTAATTCGGAGAGGATCAGTAAATTAACTTAGCTAAAATACCTTCCTATACATGGACAAAATTGGAATAGTTCATCGAGTATCAACACCATGGAACTTAGTAGTTTACTATAATATGCAACCGTATTTTAAAGCAGTAGACCACAAAGAATTTCTAATAACATCGCTACAAGGAAATATGTCTTAAGCTGAAATCATTCGAAGATCAATGCAAAACTACGGTGACCAACATGGGAAACAGAATTTCCGAACTAAAGGAAAACGATAAATTATTCAATCATCGAAGCAGTAGTCGTAAAAAGAGAGCTCGTTTTGGATTCATTAGTTCTTTGTTTCATGTTTTGTTTGGAGTGTTAGATGAAAATGATAGAGAAGTTATTGAAAATAATATGAGGAATGTTCTGTCAAATCAACAGATCAAAACCATCTGATTAAGCAGCAAACTATAGTAGTGGAATTTACTGTTAATATTTTAAAGAAAACAACCAATGAAGTCAATGATCACTTTGCAAAAATGTACATCGAAGTAAATAACATCAGAGAGACACTTAAAGAACACTATATGGTTTATCGAGAAACAATTAATTTCTTGATGATGATCAAGAATTTAGAAAACTTTTTAAAAGAAGCTGAAAAAATTCAAACTCTAATCATTACATTGCTAATTGATATCAACCATGGGAAGATAAATACAAATCTGATAAAACCCTCCAAATTGGAGGAGGAAATCCGAAAAACACCTACAGATGTATCTTCAAAGAAAATATGGAATCAGAAGTCTGGATTGAATTAAAATCAAAATCTAGTTGGTTGTACAGCTACAAAGAGAATGCATCAGTCCATATCTATTGTTTAAATGAGATGCAGGAAATACTACCATTGGGTAGGAAAAGAATACTATCACTCAACAAAGGTTGTACAGGAAGCATTGGCAGAACAACGCTTACGGCATCAGCAAGAATAAATACTAATCTACAGGATGGCTTCAGAACGTGTTTGTTAAAGGAAACAGATAACTCTACTGGTGAATTTATGCACCCATCGGACCATTATCTAATCAATCAAACGATGCAAATTAAGGAATTAGAAAGGAAACTGGGCATTCTTAAAGAAGATAAGCTGCAACTCAGAGAACTTGAATGGCATCATATAGGTGCGCATACAGCACTAGGTATTTCATTAGCATTAGCTATGGTTCTAGTAATATTATTGTATAAGCAATTTGGTTGTAAAAAGAAATCTGAAAAAATTAATATAGTTTTCTCGGCAGGAGATTCTGGCCCCTTGCAGAATGTTTAAATTTGAATATGTGTCTACGCGCCAATTACCTAAATAACATATTCAGTTATTTGGGTATTAAATATTTTAGTATTTTATTTAATATTTTAGTAAATTAAATTATTTTCTAACAAGGGTTTTTCAAGGCCTTAAAATATTTCGTTACCAAGGTTCTTTTAAACATTAAAATATGAAATGTAATAACAGGGATTTATTTAAAACAATAGGATCAGTTAAAAATATGAAATGTAATAACAGAGATTTATTTAGAATAGGATCAGTTAAAAATGTAAAATGTAAATTAAAGGAAAAGGAAGTAATTAAAGGTAACAAAGAACAAGGTTAAAGGAAATGTATATCTAAAAGAAAAACCCAAAACTAATCAAAACTAATTATTAAACTATGTAAAATTTAGTATTTGAGAACAAAAAAAAAAAAAGTAGTAGTTTCTTGCACAATATTAAAAGTTTGAGTCTTTTTTTGCATACTCTAGTTATTTACAGGATATAGGATAAGGAACCAACACCAAACACCGTACATTGTATAAGAAATTAAAAGAATTTATAGCAAAAATATATCATACCCTGTACATGTTTGTGATGCTTATGATGATCGCTATGTTTAGACTCATATTTTTGTTTGTTATCTGTAGTTGACGTCTCCGATTTCGTAATGTCTTACAAAAATAATTTTTTGAGTTGGCAAGTATGAATTTAGTAATGCATGATAATAAAATTTAAAACATGAAAGAAATAATATAATTTCGCACTTTTTAATCTGAAACTAAAAAAATTGTCATAACCTTCTTATTTCATTTTTCAGTCGCAAAAAACAGCTTAACATCATTTAAGGTCCGTTGTCATACAATTTTATTTAAATTAAAAATAATAAATATAAGATGTCGCAAGTCGCTGATCTACGTACAATTAAAAAACGAGATTATAAAACAGTTTTAACAAAAAATTATTAAAATTTTGCTTTGCTTTGCAAAGCAACCATACCAACAACTATTAAATGCATGTTCTTTTCTTACTTGCTTTAATAGAAATGTACAAATTTCTTTTAATATTATACTAACAAAGTTTATATAATCCAGAAAATGTGTTTATGTTGGTAAGCAAATTGTTATTGCGAACCTATTGATGGCCTATTTTAAGAAAAAACTCGTCAAATTTAAGAACGTCTTGCAAAATCTTACTAAATTTAATTTTTTCAGTGAAAGTCAAGTAAAATTGAATATGAAAATAATGTCATATTTTTTTTTACTGAAAAGAGCAATTTACGCAGAAAGTATTGGAAATTTTTAAAGTATTAATCTAGTAAATTATAAGATTTTATTTCTACTGACCGTTTTGTTTGAGTAAAAATTACATTTTTTAAATATAATATGTATTTTTTATTAGTTTCAATTTTCAAATTTTCGAGAGCATTTGAGACAGCGTAACATCCCTGTCGAAATTTGAAAATGCTACACAGACTTTACTCATACATTTTTTTTCAAGTAAAATTTGTATTCATGTGTGAATCAGCTGTTTTGGTTTTAATTTCAATTTTTGTGTTGTTTTTTGCGCGGAGTTAATGTTCTACCACATAGGGGTAGTATTTGCTCAATTTAAGCGGCCAAAAAACCAATTTTTGAAATTAATTTTTAATAAAAATTTTTAAATGGGAACTTATTAAATAGAATACGCTAAAAGATTATGGTTTTTTTAGTTTTCTTTGTAGTGTCATTCGCATGAACAACTGATTTGAAGTGGAGCATTTTAAAATGTAAATTTTTGCTTGAGTTGCAACTTACGCTAGTAGCTAATAAAAAATAATATTAATACTGACAACATTTTTGAAAGATATAAATTATGACACTGTTTAAAGCAGGTAATTAGAGATCTACTTATAAAATTTATTGTAGATATTCTGTTTTAGTGCTATTGCGGCGTTAATCTAAAAGTTGCTATTTGAATGAATTATTTCGATCTAAGCGAATGCATTATAGTTAAAAAGTTATAAAATTCCGCAATATTCCACTATGATATTAACTGCATTATAAAGGTGGAAGTTTCTTTATTTAAGAAAAAAACTTTGGCTGCGAATTTTTGAAGCAATATTTTGCATTGCTTCGTATACAAAACGAGTAAACATAATATTTAGATAATGTTGGAGAATAAATATTGTTATGTCTGAAATATAAAGGTCTGTAACATTGAAACATTGAAGATAAAGTTAATATTTACTAATTTTTGTGAGTATTTGAAACCATAGTCAAGCGCACCAGCAGTAATCAGTGTACTCATGAGCAGCGTTTATGATCTATGTATACTTTTTGTTTCCGTGTAATCTTTCCATAATTAAATTTTATCACTTTGTATTTAGGTACTTCAGGGGTCACAGCAATAAGTAGAGCATATATATTAAGCATAATGCAAAGCTGCAAAAGCTCTAATATTGATGAGAAGGTTAATTTTGCCTTTTTGGCCTTTTGGATTAAAGTATAACAGGGTAAAACTTTTTATTACTTTGTCTTACTATTAGGTTCAGCATACAAAATCACTGCTACTTGTACCGAAATCAATTTACAAGACCTTTTGAATCATACAGCAACAAGAATATTGGAATATCTTCAAGAAGTGATTAAATCATTAGAACAGAATGATTTAAAAAACTTAACACACGTTTGTAAGTGGGATTGTGATGGATCACAAACATAATTTACTGCTTACCATGGTAGATGCTAAAGTATGCAATGCTCTCATACATACTAGTTCTACTATGAAATGCTATATATGTAACAAAACTTCAAAGGATTTTAATGATTTGACTACAGCTCTACCAATAAACGAAAACTCTCTAACGTTTGGTTTATCAATTCTGCATGCGAGAATAAGACTATCAACAGAAATCACGAGTATAGATCCAAACCTAATTTTTCGTTTAAAAGTAATTTTGAAAGTTATATCGAGTGGATATCACATTGATACTGAAAAATTTAATCAATATGCTTTCGATACAGCGAAGCTGTACGTAATGTTGTATCCATGGTATCCTATGACGCCTACTATGCATAAGATTCTTATTCATGGAGAGATTGTCATTAAAAATGCACTGCTGCCTATGGGACAACTGCCAGAAAAAGCGGCAAAAGCACGTAATAAGCATTTCAGACTGTATCGTGAGAACTACGCACGAAAATTTTCTCGGGAGTCCTGCAATACAGATATATTAAATAGACTGTTATTAACTTCAGATCCTCTCCTGTCTGGATTGAGAGCAAAGCCAAAAAAACCATCACAGCCTTTCACAAAGGAAGCGTTAGAAATGCTTCTTCCAACTAATGAACTGGAAGACACTATAATGTGCTTAAGTGAGAAGGATAAACTTAGCTCAGATAGCGAAATATTAAGTTTTTAAATATTTTAAATCTTTTTAAAATTACACTTATTGTTCTAAGATAAGAGCATAAAAATGCATGCTTTCAATCATAATTTTATTGTTGTTAGGTAAACGAATATGTTTAGCCAAAACGTCACATTAAAAAACTGAAATATTTTTATTATTATAATAATATTTATAATTATATTTATAATAATATAATAAATAATATTTATTTGTTTTAATATCCTACTCGAATTCTGAATTGAGAGAAGCTGCTTGCCATACATATGCAACATTTTATCAAGCACAGTGTAATTTTTTCAGACATTATTAATTATTTTGTTTAATTTTTTTGTTTTAGCAACTTTAAAAGTCATGAAGTAGCTTTACATAACATTTTGAGTTAAAAATCATACAAAAATAATTTTGGCCGCCTAAATTGGTCAAATACCCCTGTGTGCAGACTTTACACAAAATCTGTGTAAAGAGCGAAATTTGGCACTTTATTTGTTTTACGCTCTCAGTTTGTACTTTACTTGTGTTTTACTTGAGTTTTACTATTTTTACTATTATGTTACTATTATGACCTTATATTTCACAGTGTGTGGAATATCAATTATTTATTTTATAATTATTTATTTATATCACAGTATGTGTTTATAGCAATGCATAGATAAAAACAATTTAAATAGCAGTAGAGTTGATTCAGAGACTATATTTACTTCTACTCGGCGAAGAAATATATGATGGCTAAGGTCTTAGCAGTATATTTATTTAACTACTCTTACTTTATTTTGAAAAATATTGTTCGAAAAATATCTTTTTTTTTTGGACGGATGCTTAATACTTTATTTATTGTTATCCTGTTCATTTACTAATTCCAAATAATCTCAATTTTTCGATTCACTTAGATATGCAATTATATTAGAAATTGTTTCATCATACAATTTTTCCGCGATGACAATAAAAATCGTTTTAAACAAAGTTAAACAAATTAACAAAAGAGAAGAAAGAATTACTAGAGGTCTAAAGACAAAAAAATGTATTTAATTTTATCACAAGATTGAGTGCTACAAAGGTTACAAATTATTCCTTATGGAAAGCGACAAAGAGTAGTAATCGTGCCATACTATATTGCACACCGTTAGAAGAAGAAGATAAGACTTGTGGGCGCACAAACCAAGAAAAAGCAACTGTTCTCGCTGAGTATTTTAAAAGCACATTTACAAACCCTAACAATGATTCAAACCATATACTACCCAAGAACCTGACCCAGAAGAACGTTAAAATTAAAAAGACAACAACTGCTGAAATAAAAAACATCATCGCCGTTAACATCAACCCAAAAAAATCACCAGGTTATGATGACATCATCGCCGTTAACATCAACCCAAAAAAATCACCAGGCTATGATAACATAACTGGTAAATTCGTTTTAGAATTGCCTGTAATAAGTATCATTTACATTAGAAACATTAGAAAATACCTAAACCAAACAAAAATGCTTCAGTTATCAACTCTTACAGACCGATCAGCTTATTACCCATCTTATCTAAACTATTCGAAAATACTCTTTTCTCACGACTGGAACCAATAATACAAGAAAACAATCTATTGTCAAATCACCAATTTAGATTTCGTAAAAAGCATTCTACTATTCAGCAAATTCATCGGGTGGCTAGTAAAATGCAATGAATATAGACTCTAAGAAGATCACTGTGGATGTGTTTTTAGATGTAACTAAAGCATTTGACAGCATCTAGTACGAAGGATTGCTTTACAAACTAACAGGAATATTGCCGACCGATTTTTATTTACTAATGAAAAGCTACCTTTAAAATAGATGCTCCTTTGTGCAATATCAAAGCGACACATCCAACATGATAAAAGTAGAAGCCGGTGTCCCTCAAGGAAGTGCTTTAGGCCTGATTCTGTATCTACAATACACTGCAGACATTCCTAAGCCTAAAAGTAAAGAAATACTAGTTGTAGCGTTTGCTGACGACACTGGACTTTTATCATCAAACCATGACATCACAAAAGCAACTGCAATCCTTTTCAAAATCATCTAAACGAAGTTATATATTAGTCTGACACCTTGGGAAATTTGAAGAACAGAGACTGAAACAGAAACTAAACATTGATATACCAAGAAAGAAGAAGAAATACTTGCAAGAAAGCATGCTATTAGACCAAAAGCTGACTTGGAAGGAGCACATAATTCAGAAGAAAAGGAAGCTCATCGAAGATTTGCAGACCAATATTGGTTTCTTGGTAAAAATTCCAGTTTGTCAATTGATAACAAAC